GCTAAGAGTTTGCCTTAGATCTTGGAAGAAAATTCAGATGGACTTTTCAATAATGCTGAAACTGTTAGGACATTGGCAAATCTTGGAGATGGGCTAAATGCCTTTTACATAAAGGAATGCGCATGAGTCTTTAGGGGAGTAGGGCCAGAATGTTATGGTTCTAATGTAATATAATGTTGATAGACTTAATACTGGTTGTTAAGAATTGTTAAACCTATATTATAATGTTTAAGTTGTGAAATGATAAAATTAAACATTTCTCTGTATCTGGAAACCATTTTAAAGAAATATGTCTGGTTGCCACATCAACAAGGGGTGAACTGTTACAGCTGATATATTGTTTCAAGTTGATAAGAGGTTTAACTAAATAACTCAGCAGTGGACCAGGGCCCTCTCTTTGTAAATATTATCCTGTGCAAGAGAATGGTACTGAGATGATGTTACTGCTACACACACACACACACACACACACACACACACACACACACACACAGAGTTGGTAGTAGCCTGCCTATAATATAAGGGAGGCTTGCTTGCCTGCACTCTTTTGCTCGTGTGGCTTTTCCTGTCTTCTGCTGCCTTGGACTGTTGCCCCTGTGCCATGCCACACTGACTTGGAGCCAGCTGATTATTGACTGAAACGTCCACAAATTGTGGCTAAATAAACCTTTCCTTCCTTAATTTTAGGTGTCAGGTATTTTGTCTCAGGAACAAGAGAAAAGTAACTAAGACAGTCATCATTTAACAGAGTCTACATATTGGGGAACATATAATACTTTTCTTTCTGACTTATCAATTTCACTTAACATGATGGTCTCTGGTTCTATACATTTTACTGAAATCATGTAGTTTTCTTCTTATGGCTATATTGTGTATATATACACATTTTCTTTATCCAGTCATCTGTTGATTGGTATCTAGACTGGGTTGTATCTTGGCTACTGTGAATTGTGTCACAAAAAGTATGGTTATGCATTCCTACATTATACTTAGTTTCTTAGGGAATATACTAGAGTGGTATAGTTGGGTTATATGTGAGTTCTATTTTTAGGTTCCTTTTTATTTTTATTTTTTTCAGAAATCTCCAAAGCTCCATCATGGCTGTACTAACTTATATTTCCAACAGTGGTGTGGAAGGATTCCCTTTCTCTACAGCCTCACCATCATTTACTGATTTTATTCCCCTTTTTGGGGGGGAGGGTGTACCAGGGATTAAACTCAGGACTTTGCACTTGCCAGGCAGGCACTTATTCCACTGAGCTATCTCCCCCATTTACTGATCTCATATTTCCAATGATAGCCATCACACTAGGATGAGATGGAATCTCAATGTAGTTCTGAATTCCATTTCCCTTATAACTAAAGATGGTGAACAATTTTGATACACTTATTGGCCTTTTGTACTTCTTTTGAGCAATGACGTTTCAATTCATTTACCCATTTATTGATTAGGCTATTTGATTTTTTTGGTGGTTTTTCTGAATTCTTTCTATATTCGAGATACTAATCCTGTCAGAGATAGCTAACAAAGATTACATCCACTTTGCAGGCCATGTCTGTACTCTGTTGATTGTTTCCCTTAATGTGCAAAGACTTAAATTCAATGTAGTCTCATCTGTTGATTCTTGCTATTATTTCTTGTGCTATTAGTCTTTTTTAAAAAAATCATTTATTTATTTATTTATTTATTTATTTGGTACAGGGTCTCTGCTACACAGCTCGGATTCATAGTGATCCTCCTGTTTCAGCCTCCCCA